ATCCACTACGAGAACCACGGGTCCGAGCCTAGTTTTGCACCTCAGTTGTGCGATGGACGCTTCGAATCTTTGGGGACAGCAGCGCGCAGCTCACCCACTTTTGATCCAACAACCGGGTCAACTGACCTCGCAGTGCCAGCATCCGCAAGCCATGCTGCAACAGCATCACCGCCAAGCAACTCAGCAGCAGGCTCAACAACAGGCAATGGCCACTATGTCCATGCAACATGGACAACCAGCTACATGAGGCACAGCTACGCCACAACAGTGCCCAGCACCACATGCATCCAATCAAGCCACATTCCCCACAGCGGGATTGACTCAGATGCAGCCAGCATCAACTATGGATGCAGCAACCGCGCAAGCCATCGGTATGATGCATATCGCTCCTCAGCAATCTTCAGCACAGTACATTTTTCCCACCCACCTTCAGCCTTCTCTTTCAACACACACCACTCACCCACTTGCCAACTTCCTTACATCCCAACAAACAGCACAAGCACCAAGCATGCAATCTACACCCAACACCTTCCACTCCACAACCACTAAGGCAGAAGCACTATCCCTCACCACTTTGGCGCAAAACATGGATCCGGTTGCACGCAGGCAGCTCATCCAGCTATTGGCAAGCCAGGAACCAACTGCAACCTCCTTAGGTGGCCTGGCCATGGCAACCCAACAACAACAACAGCAACAGCAACAGCAACCACCATCACAACACAATCAGCTACCACCAACACAGCCACACGTTCCCACTGCTACCACAGACACCACGGCAGTGGATGCACCACGATCAGCTCCAAAAGCAACACCCCAGTCCAGCGCCCGACTCAATTCACCATCACAACGACGTAAGCATCATCGCTCATATCGCAGCCGTAAACAACACCGTCGCAGCCGGACTTCGCACAGTGAGTCCCCTGCACATAGACGGCGCAGACAACAACGACGAAGGAGCAGCACTTCGTCAAGACAACCTCGCAAGCACCAACCTGCACGTCGTCTCAGATCCGGACAGCACCCAACATCCCCCAGACGATCCCGATCCACCAGACGAAGCAGATCCGGGGAGCGCTCCCCGCCAACAGTACATGTCACACTGAGAAGCAGATCTCAGCTAGGCTTGTCCACCTTCACAACACCTCCAGAGAACGAATGGCAGTGGCGCCGTGCAGCTGTTTCTCCGGAAACAAAACGCAAGCCACAGCCACCTCGCACAAAAGAACAGGTCTCTGCACAGTTTCTTCGTATGGCCAAGCAACAGTCACAGCAAGCTCAACAACACCGCAGCTCCGCCTCTGGACATGCAGTGAACAGGCAACCACCCACTCCACCGCCAGTTAGAGCGTGATGATGACGATGCAGAACAGCCTGCGCACCCCACAACCAAGCAATACAAGCATCACACCACACCGGCAAGCCGCATACTACCGCCTCGCAGCAAACCTGCTCCCATGGCTCAACAGCGCTTTTGGAGGGCAATCGTCCCCAAGCCTTTTTGTCAACTACGAGACGGTGAAAAACCTCGTCCGCTCTCCTACGAGGTCGCCTCTGCCAACCAGTTTGCTCACACTTTGGAAGAAATGACAGAGGGCACCGGACTCAGCACCGACATCATCCATGCATTCAGTCGGATGATCCATGAAGCAGGCCTGCAGGACCGCACAGAGGTCCTCAGCACGACCACCCTTGACATCGGTCAGGGAGTATACAAACTGGTTTTCGTACCCATTGACATGGGAGCAGCGCCACTTGCTTTTGGTCAACATCCTGATGAAGCTCGTGGTTCGGTCTGGAGCTACGTCGCCGCCCATGGGACAGATAAGGAGGGCATGCGTGGCATACGTCTCCAACATGGAGGAAATAACGCCAGTGGCGGTCTATGGCGCCGCCACCCCAGGCACTTGGGGTGAATATGCGATACAGGTGGTGCTTGATAATCTCCTTCGCAAACCGAAAGGAGTACAGGGGTGGATCGCGATCGGCACTTTGGACAGCCGCCTACAGCACTATAAGCTGGAGTACAGGAACACCCTTAAAGAACATGAAGTAGTTTTCGCCAGGGGGGTTGTTAGAACCCCATCTCGGTGGGCCTTGCACACCAGCCACTTTCACATCCGAGGCATTGGATTGTTAGTTGATTGATTGCTCAACACTTTTATCGTTTAATTTTTGTAATTTTTGCAATTCAAGCTAGTGATGCTCTCCGCCTTCGGGTTGTCCCACTTCACCAGGCGAATTTTTCCTGGTGTAGCTGCACTCAAACGAATTCTCAGTCGGGCTTTGGCTCTGACAAAAACAAGTGCTCACTCTTGGGCCCAGTCCCTGAATTCGATGGCTGTGCAGGGTCCAGACCACCACGGCGGCTTGCCCGGGTCGAGGACAGTGAAACTGTCTGCGTTGATCTCGCCCGCCTAGAGGTGGCCAACCACCTCTGTCTTCGAGTGAGCCAGCACCTCGCCCAGCTCACGTGATCCCTGGCAGCGGCGGCTTCCAGGGAACAATGTGCATCCCAAGAAGTAGGCGGCGCCGTCGCGACGGCGGCGCAGCACCATAGCATTGTCACAAACAGGGCAAGCAACGCCGCAAACAATCTTGCCACTTTCCCAGTCCAACGGCAGCTCCTTCCCGGATCGGGGGTCGATGATGACTTCCTTGGTCGTCTTTGTATTGGCCCGGTTCCTTCGGGAGCACGAAACGTACTGCCGACCCGTGCTGCCACAAAGTCTGGATCAGCTGCTGCTGAGGTTGCCTGGGCTGGCTTCTTGCTGGTAGTCGCTGCTGTCGCCCTTGTTGCCATGGGAACTCCAGCACTGCAACCGGACCGCCAGACGAACCTGCCATCGAGGATGTCCCGGGCGTCTCGGTAGCCTGTGCCGGCTTTCAGAGCCGATCAATCAGCTCTGCCCGGTTCCGGAGGTCTGCACTCCCCAGCGCTCACAGTCACAATGCAGGTCTCTGCTACGCAGCTGTGGCAGGTTCTCGGGGCGCACGCCTGCCTACGGCTCTCTCGGCCTCCTTCTCCTCCATGGTGCTCAGGACCACCATACCCGCCTCCACTCGGAAACGGGGGCGGCACTTCCTCCCACTCGCTCGACGATGGGGCATATGTAGTCCGACTCTTTCGCCGGTCGTCCAGGCGGGTCATCCTGCTCCATCTCGTCTTGGCTGGTGTCGCCCGCCTCGGGGTAGACCATGTGAGTGTAGCCGGACTCCTCGTCGTCGTTGATGCTGAAGAAGCGGGGGTCCGCCTCCGAGGTGGCAATGAAGTAGGCCTTGCCGCGACTCTTCCCTGCTCTTGTTGCCTCTTGACGGGCCTGAGCTTGACCTCTTTGGGCAGATGGCGTCCCCAGCCCAGTGCCCAAGGCGAGAGCAAGCAGCGCAACGAGTTCGAGCTTTCTGTTGGGCCACGGCCTGCCGCCTCTCCTCCGTCATCGCAGCGCCGGGCTCGCGAGGCTTGAAGCCCCGATTCTTCTGGATCTCGCGGAGCTTCTTCCCCTCATCGTCCCCGCTTCCTTCCAAGCTGCCGTAGGCGAAGAGGACGCGGCGCCGGTACTCCTTCATGAGGCCTGGCTGCGCTCCAGTGTTAATGTGGTATGCCGTCACGGTCACACCACAATTTCATCGTCGCGCCAAAGGCGCCACCACCAGAGCCGCCACTGCCGGAAGCCATGGGCCAAGGCTCCGCTACCAGTGCGAAGAGCACTGGCAGCGATCGGAGCTTGTTTTGTGTTAAAGCACGCAAAGTGTTCTCAGGTTATGTCTTGTGAAACTGTCATGCATGTGCAAAGCTGTCTGCTGTAAGCAGACCTGGAAACTGCCTAGGCGGGCCTAAGCAAACCTCTCCTTTCTGGGCCGGCTGATCGTGCATCAAGGCTTTCATGACTGCACAACCAATTGCTCCCCCTAGACTCAGGCAATTCTCACAATGTCCGAGATTTTGCAGAGGCAGCGAAGAAAGAGGTAGTGATCCCGCTCAAGTTCATCCATACAAACAATAAGACACCGAAGCACCTCGTCGAGGACATGTGCGTAGGAATCCAGAATTGCGGCATCGCAAAGATGAGGCATGAAGAAACTACAGCACAATAACCACTCTGAGAGGGCCGAAAACGA